TTCACCTGAAGTACAATAAAAAATAAAATAAAATAAATTAAAAAAAAAAAAGTGTAATATTCAGCTTGATGCTGCTAAAAATATAATGGACTATGGTGGACTAAAAACCCCTATTCCCTTTTGTGTCTTTTTCCCAGGCATCTGTCTGGAAGACTCTCAGAAATCCAGACATCCAAGAAAGTTCTGACTCCTGACATTGGTCCATGTACCTACAGACATTGTCTGTCACTGAAACCTCAGATGGGCCACCCCACAGGTCCTGGCCACAGAAATGCTTGCCCTTCAACTTCCAGACCACTCTGTTTTCTTTGGTTCCCTTATGTAGCAAGATTTTGCTGTGAGTGTTCATTAAGCTTGCATTCATGGGGAACGGAGAACAGGTTTGACTCAGTATATAGGCTAGAAGATAGATAGCACGGAACTGGGAAGACCATAAGCTTTCACCAGAAGTTTAAGGGGTGTTGGCACAATCTATGTCCAGCATTGGCTCTTGTCTGCCCATATCTCAGAAATGAAGAATGAGGAATAGGCAAATGGTTTTTATTTTAACCTTTAAGTTTTTTAAAAATAATTTTTTACACTTTGAAATAGTTTAAGACTCACAAGGAGGTACAAAAATAGTACAAGAGTTCCTGTGTTCCCTTCACCCAGCTTTCCCCATGATGATATTTTATAAAACCATAGCACATTGTTAAGACCAGGAAATTGACATTGCCAATTATGTTTTTATATGGAACTCTTTGTTGTGTATAGAAAATCTTACCAGAAAGCCAATTTGTAAAACAGAAGCAGATTGTTTTCCAAAGTGGTTGTACCATTTAACATTCCACTTTGGAAAACAATATGGTGCTTCCTTAAAAAGCTAGAAATAGAAATACCATATGATCCAGCAATCCCCCTCCTAAGAATACATCCTAGAGAAATAAGAGCCGTCACACGAATAGACATATGCACACCCATGTTCACTGCAGTACTATTCACAATAGCAAAAATCTAAACAACCTAAATGCCCATCAACAGATGAATGGATAAACAAATTATGGTACATATACACAATGGAATACTATGCAACAATAAAGAACAATGATGAAGCCACAAAACATCTGACAACATGGATGAATCTGGAGGGCATTATGCTAAGTGAAATAAGTCAGCCACAAAAGGACAAATATTGTATGACACCACTATTATAAAAACTCAAGAAAAGGTTTACACACAGAAAAAAAAAAAAAATTCTTTGATGGTTATGAAGGTGGAGGGGAAATCACTAACCAGATAGTAGACAAGTGTGAATGCTGGTGAAGGGAAAGACAGCACACAATATAGGGGAAGTCAGCACAACTTGACCAAAGCAAAGGCATAGAAGTTTCCTAGACACATCTAAACACCTTGTGGGACTGAGTTGCTGAGGCTGGGGGCTGGGGACCATAGTCTTGGGGGACATCTAGGACGATTGGCATAACATAGTTCATAAAGAAAATGTTCTATATCCTACTTTGGAGAGTAGCATCTGGGCTCTTAAAAGTTTGCAAGTGGCCATTTAAGATACATCTATTGGTCCCATCCCATCCAGAGCAAAGGAGAATGAAGAAAACCAAAGACACAAGGAAAATATTAGCCCAGAGTACTAAAAGACCACATGACCCAGAGCCTCCATCAGCCTGAGCCTAGAACTAGATGGTGCCCAGCTATACCACAGATGGCTCTGACAGGGATCACAACAGATAGTCCCAGGCAGAGTGGGAGAAAAATGTAGAACAAAATTCAAATTCATGAAAAAAGACCAGACTTACTGGTCTGACAGGGACTGGAGGAACTCCCAAGACTATGGCCCCTGGACACTCTGTTAACTCAGAACTGAAACCACTCTCAAAGCCCAGTTATCAGACAAAGACTAGACAGGCCTATAAGACAAACAGTAACACACGTGAGGAATGTGCTGCTTAGTTCAATCAAATATATGAGACCAAATGGGCAACTCCTGCCCAAAAGCAAGACAAGAAGGCAGGAAGGGATAGGAACTTGGCGAATGGATGCAGGGAACCTGGGGTGGAAAGTGGGAGTGTGCTGTCACATTGTGGGGATTGCAACCAATGTCACAAAACAATATGTGTATACATTTTTGAATGAGCAACTAACTTGAGCTGTAAACTGTCACCTAAAGCACAGTAAAATTAAAAAAAGAATAATATAGTGGGTCTAAAACAGAATGTATCAATTAGTATAGGTGAGTTAATACTGCAGTAACAAGCAATCCCCAACGATCAGTTTCTTTAATCAGCAAATCTTGTGTGCTACCTGTCCATGACCTCCATGCTATTCTGACTCCAGGACCCAGGCTGACATAGCAGCCACTCTCTGGAACACTGGAATATTGCTGGTTGCTGTGGCAGAGGAAAAGAGGGCATGGGGTACTACTCATTAGCTCTTAATGAGCACATCACTTTCACTCACATTTAATAATTGTCCTAGGTGCACAAACAAGGGCATTACTAACTCTGAGGGAGTAGCTGGGAACTTGTTCAAAGAGGAGCTGCCACATTAAATCAATAATATTCTCTGAAGTCTTCTTTAAACCAAACAATACTTAGCTTAATTAATTAAGAATGTCTCCCTTGATCATCATGCTCTTTTAAAGAACTAGTTATATGGAATCAAACTGACAACAGCAACTTGAAACGTTAGATAGGAAGCTTAGGGGGCAGTGAGTTTATGTTAGCAGGGGAGGAACAACTCAAAAAAGGAGGGTGAGAATGGTTGCATAACTTGAAGAATGTATTCAGTGTGACTGAACTGTACATGTAAAAATGGTTGAATTGGTGTATGTTTTGCTGTGTATACAAAAACAAAAATAAATTACTAAAAATATTTATAGAGTATAGGTAATATTAATGCATATTCCTAAGTTAACAGGCCTAAAAATAAGTATATAATGGTGTTTAATCATTAAAGCTCAGATACCCTGTCATTCTGAATAAAATTCAACTACCAATATGTTTAACACCCAAGCCATTTTTACCAAACAGGCACATGGCTTATAGTCTTAAGATACATCGAAAACTTATATCCAAATAACCATGCCAACTATTAAGAATACTGATTTGTTTCCAACCACACCTGGACTAAATTCAACTTGCATCCCCTTGATATACTAATAAAATTAATTTAAAAAGAAAACAGAGGCAGAGCTGTTCAGGTTGATGGGGTGGGATGTTGAGGGGAATGAAAGAGTCAGAAGCACCACCAGAACATCTTTTGAACTTTTTGATATGACTGTTATGACTTACATTGCATTTTAAAAACACTTTAATGAGACAAATTATAAAAACTTTATTTAAAAAATTAAGTGCTCTGAATATTCCCAAATCTAAACATAAAGAGAATTTTTATTTATGACTAGACAAAACCAAATCTCAAGACCTCAGATAAATAAAGAAGTCAAATGTGTTTTAGAAACAGGTACCCGGTTACTTGGATTTGACCCACTCTTACCATTCGCACTGCCTTGTCAAGTTCACAGTCATTGAAAATTATAAGTGGGGATTTGCCACCAAGCTCAAGGGAAACTTTCTTCAAGTTACTCACAGCACAGCTGGAAAAGAAATAAAAGATCAGCAATAGTCTCTATCTTGCTCACTCACTTGCTTTCTCTAACCATATATGACCACTAGGTACGAAATACATAATGCCATATCTAAAAGGAATAATCCTGTAAGGAAGTGACAATTGTGATAAACGCTGTAGTAGCAATAGTTACTATTTACTGAGCACTTGCTACGCTGAAGAGACTTTTAAGTTTTTCCTAGATTTTATCTCATTTAATCTCCACATATCCTGGATGAGATGTAAGCTATCTCTTTTACAGATAATGAGATTGCACCTCAGCAATATTAACAAATTTATTCAAAGATAAAGCAGGAATGGTAGAATGGCGCTGATCGTTGAAACTGGGAGATGAACACATGGGAGTTCATTATGCTACACCATGTGCTTTGTGTATGTTAGAATTTCCCATAATAAAAAGTTTTTGAAAATTCTGTAGTCAAACAATAGGAAACATAGGAAAATCCAGTTTGTTTAGATATAGGAATATATAGATATTGGTAACATAAAGGCCTGGCAAGGGAATTTCACCTCTAATTAGATTCTGCAGCACTGGGAAACAATTATCAATTTTTAAAAGTGTGTTGGTTATTTTCTCCTTCTTATAAAAGTATTCTTGTTTAAAACATTTGGAAAATACTATCAAAAACGCAGAAGGAAGAAAAATCACATAATTCCATTCCATGGCTCAATGATAATTGTTTTTACCATTTTTATATACCTATTTTGGGTCTGTGCACTAACACAGCTTTTGTTTTGTTTAACATAGTTGATCACCCAATATATACAATTTAATGCTTTATTGTTCTTTCCACTTGCCATTTTAATAACAACTTTCTATGTTATTCAACACTCTCCATGAACATAGTAACTGCACAGTAGTCCATTACATTGACATACTTTAACCACTGTCTTATTCTGGACGTTTAGATTGTTTACAATTTTTTTTTAATTAATGTTATTGCTTTTTAGGAGTTCCTTTTATAAATAATCCAGATTTGTCATTTATATGCCTTTTTAATTTCTTACCTATGCTCCAAGAAATAATTTGGGCTGCAACTTTAGTGCAAAAAAATTTTTGTGTGTGTGCTGGAATGTTCAGGCTACCAGTGGAGTGTAGAGTTTTGATATAGTTCTAGTTTTAATGACTGTGGGCTTTAACATTTGGGAAAGTGTTTTATTATATTTAAATATCCAGCAGTGATCAATAAATTTCTCTTCTAAATTTGATGTGGTTTGTCTCCCTCCAAAATCATCCTATTTTTTAAAAAATTGGTTTAACAGGATCTGCAGCAAATTGACACACTAAAACCAATACCTTTTCATGATCTGTTTGCCAATAAGAGTGGAACCTGTGAAACCAAGTTTGCGGATGTCTGGATGTTCAGAAAGGCGTTGTCCTGCTATGCCACCTGTAGAAGTCGGGAATAAAAAGTAAATGAAAACACTACTCAAGTTCTACCTATGGTGGGTTTGAATTCATTGATGTACATTTCTAAGCTCTCATTGGAACCTTAAGTTGTACATTTTCTGTATTAATTGCAAACTGACAAAAATCTGACATGAGACCCTCCATGCAGTTGTCAGCCCAAGAGATGATGGGTACGCCTTGGTTTTTATCTTCCAAAGTATTTTTTGAAAACTAAAATGAACCACCTTCGGGTAGTTTTACAATGTTGTACAATCCGTGCCACCCTCCAGTATACTTCTACTTTAAGATTCTAGCACATTGTAAGTGTCTTTATCCTTAAGTCAACTGTTTGGTAAACTGTATTTAGTTTTGATATAGTTATAATTCAGGACAAGACTGCAGTGGGAAAACAGTCATTCAGCTAACCCCATACCATTCATTGGTTCTAACAAAGCGGGTTATTTAATGGTTACCTGAGCCTGGAATTATGTTGATTACCCCTTTTGGGAAGCCAGCTTTAACAGAGAGCTCTGCAAACTTCAAAGCGGTCAAGGGCGTAACCTGAACAGAAACAGACAACAATGACCTTCTTCAGAATCTGCCAGTCCTGTCTTTTAGTCCAGTACTCAGTTTTTACTTTATAGCTGCATTAGAGTGCATTTTATTTTTTATTTTACCTTTTCTGTTTTTAAAATTTTGATTTAATATCAAACTGATAGCAAAGTTGCAAAAATAATACAAAGAATTCTTATATACCCTCCCCCAAATCCTCAAATGTTAACATTTTACTACATTTGTTTTATTCTCTTTCTGGATATACACATACATTTGTTTTTCTAAATGGTTTAAGATGTAGACATGCCCCTTTGCCTGTAAATACTATACTCCAGTGTGCATTTCCTCAAAATAAGGAACTCTCTTATATAACCACAATACGATGATCAAAATCAGGACAATTAACAACTGATATTATACTATTACCTAATTTATAGACCTTATACAAATTTCACTAATTGTCCCAATAATGTCCTTCATAGCAAAAGAAAATCCAAGATTATGAACTGTATTTAGTTATCATGTATCTTTAGTCTCCTTTATTTAATCTGGAACAGTTTGAGTTTTTTTTTTTTTAAATATATTTCATTATATTACATTTTTGTAGTGTACAGGCCAGTTAATTTGTACAACGTCCCTTAATTTAGATTTGTTTGATGCTTCCTCACAGTTAGATTCAAGTCAGGCACTTTTTGCAGAAATACCACTGAAGTGATGCTGAGTTCTTCTCAGTGTGTCCCATCAGGGGGCACATGCTGTCAAATAGTCCCAATAATGGGAATGGTAACTTTGATCTTTTGGTAAAGGTGGTCTGCCAGGCTTACCACTGTATGCTTTGAGGCTATTTAAACATCTGGTTACTCTTCAAACCTTTATCCACTATTTTTATTATCCATTGATGATTCTTGCCTGAGTCAATTATTATTATGATAGTTGCCAAATGATGATTTTTTGATTAGTTGTCTTTTCACTCCCTTCTCTTTAGTTAATTAACTAATTAATTCATTAATATCAGTGTGGATTCATGGTTCTTTAGTCAAGAGATTATAATTTTTTCTATTGTTATTTATTTAGATATTCAAATTGATCCATTTTTGGCCAGTGGGAACCCTTTTAATCTGGTTCTGGTATCCTTCTGACATGTCCTTATCATTCTTTGAGCATTTCCTTACTTTTTGGCCCAACGAGTTCCAAGCTCATCTTGTATTTTCCCTGCTCCAGCCATTCTCCAAGGAGCCCAGGTTCCCTTTAGAGGTTAATGATATTTAGGAACCAAGATCTGGGCACTATTGGGGGTATCACTGCTTCTAGGCCCTCTTAGCAGACAGAGCTGGGAAACAGACGTCTGTATATACATAGACATGCATATTGAAAACAAAACAAAACAAAAACCAGTTGCTGTGGAGTATGACTCATGCAACTCCATATGTGTCAGAGTAGAACTGTGCTCCATGAGGTTTTTAATGGTTGATTTTTCAGCAGTAGATCACCACGCCTATCTTCTGAAGTGCCTCTGGGTAGACTTCAACAGTCAACCTTTTGGTTAACAGCCGAGCGCAGTAACCGTTTGTACCACCCAGGGACTCCAGACACACATATATCTGTATCTGTATCTACATACCCACATACATACATCTATATCCATTTCTTTACCTAGTTATCCAATATATTAAAATCCATGAGTTTACACTAATACCGCCATCCATTACTTCAGGGTCCATTCTATCATTCCTCCTTGTCATATTTATAATTCCCTCTCAAACAGTGAGAAAAATGGCTCCCATTATTCATAGCATATTTACTTATTTGATCAACCCTACAATTAGAAAGTACTTTCAGAATTGCTAAGCCATCCCTATGAAAAAGAAGCCTACTAACTAGAGTATAATATTTCTTTGGAAATATCTCTGGAGTCTGCCTGAGGACATATAGTCCAAATCCCACTTTCAAAAGTTACTTGGGTTATATCTTCCCCACCCTCTTCATTGCAGTTACATTATTCATTTGAAATATGGCTTGATTAATTTGTTTTTGTCTGTATTCAATTTTAAGGTTTTTGCCCCATCTGTGTTGATGATATTTCTTATCTTTTGTTGTGGTTGTTTTGGTTACGGGAAACATACTTCCAATAGTTCGGACTGCTCAAAAAGGCACATTCAGAGAAGTGTCATTCCCCTGACCCCCTTCCACGTCCTGGAGATAATCAGTCTCACTAGTCTCCAGTTTATTCTTCCTATGGTTCTTTTTACGCAAATGAGCGGATACATATTTTCACCTTTCCCCTTCTTTCTTACACAAAAAGTGGCAGAAAATAGATCTCATTTTAAACACAGAACAGTGTATATCTCAGAAGCAAAATGAAAGTAATATTTTCACTCTCTTAAAAACCCATGCCAATTAAGTACTTTGCTACCTGGGTCTATAAATACGGAGTGTGCAAAAAGATCCATTGAGGTGTGAAAAGAAAATAGTAGTAGTTTTATTTATATATTTTTAACTGACAGATATATAAAATAAATTAAACATAACTAATATTTATTATATGGCTGGGTAATGGTGCTCTCAGTCTGAATGAAGTTCAGATCATGGGTCACAAAGGGATGTAGGGTCCAAGGAGAGAAGAGGAACTCACAAGGCCAAGGGCATGACAGTGTTTCCTCATGTGCTCATTTACTGTCAGAATATTGCCATATGTTGAAGTTCACATGGATTCACAGATTATCTTGTTATTTTAACGAAGCCAACATTCATCAAATGGACAAGTGGCCTAAAAAGAATCTTGCATAAAAACTGCACAATAAATGGTTATACTAACAAGGCAAACACAGCAAACAACAAGAAAAAGGCAGGGCTAACACTTTTCGCCTTCTAGTAACAGGTCTGCGATAGCCACATTATAAGGTTTAAACAATGGCAGTCTAATTAGACTCAATAAGAAGTTGGCCAAAACATTTGAAATTATCAAGAAGACTGTTTAAAATAGTAGATTTATATCTGCTATAGTTAAAAATAGGAAGAAAGGCCTGGCAATCTACTTCTGAAAAATCCGCCACTGAAAACCCTATGGTGCACAGTTCTGCTCTGACACTCATGGGGTCACCACGAGTCAGAACTGACTCAATGGCAACTGGTTATAGTTAAAGATGATCCTCTCCCAAAGTGTATATTAGTATACCTTGGTATGAAGTCATTCTGATTAGGAAGATATGTAAAAAGTAACTATCTTAGATTAATAATAATTATTTTTAAGTAAGAATAAAAAGTTTTTTTAATACCTTAATATATAAAATACAGCAAATTGTGTCATCTTTATTTTATCCTTTTAAATTTCTATTAGTTTTACATGCTTTTAATGGACATAATAGGAGCCCCTGGGTTCAAACAGTTAACACTGCTAAACGAAAGATTGGAGGTTTAAGTCTACCCAGGTGCCTTGGAGGAAAGGACTAGCTATCTACTTCTGAAAATCAGCCTCTTAAAACATGATGGAGCACAGTTCTACTCTGACACACGTGGGGTCACCGTAAGTCACAATCAACAGCAACTGGTTGGTTTAATGGACAGAATATGGTAGTACATATATATAAGACTGAAGAAAGAATTGATGCCTTTGAATTATGGTGGTGGCGGAGAATAGTGAATGTACCATGGACTGCCAGAAGAATGAACAAGTTTGTCTTAGAAGAAATACAGCAAGAATGCTCCTTGGAAGTAAGGATGGTGAGACTTTGCCTCACGTACTTTGGGCATGTTATCAGGAGGGACCAGTCCCTGGAGAAAGACATCATGCTTGGTAAAGTATAGGGTCAGTGAAAAAGAGGAAGACCCTCGACAAGATGGATTGACACAGTGGCTGCAACAATGGGCTCAAGTATAACAACGATTGTGAGGATGGCGCAGGACCAGGCAGTGTTTCGTTCTGTTGGGCATAGGGTCACCATGAGTTGGAACTGACTCAGTGGCACCTAACAACAACAACGTGTATATAATTTATAAATATTTTCCTGATAGGAATGCATGATTTCAAAGTTAAGAGATCGTCGTGTAACCTAACAGCATGAAAGAATGTTTCACTTCTAATTTATAATTAGAAAGTCTTTTAAACCCGGGAAGTTTCTGGCCCAGTGTCCTCATCTCAGCATATAGAGTCCCTGTTTTAAAAAGATTGGTATCACCATGCCTTATAATGCAGGATGCCTCATTAACGAATCAGCACAGTCTAGAAGGGGAAGGAACACAAGTCTAACATCAGAAGACTCAATATTGAATCACAAGTCTACCACCCACTCACTATCCAGGTGGCCTTGGGCAAGTCATTTAACCTCTCTAAGTGTCAAACTTTAGTAACAAAAATAGGCTAATAATCCCTATATAGTACCTATCTCAAAGTGTTGTTGAAATGAGATAAGGTATAGATTTAAATGATATATGGGAAAGCATCTAACTGTGCTGGGCAACAGTAGGTCATTGCTAAGTATTAATCAACTTGTCAGAACCTGTCAGACCTGGGCCAGTCCACCCCAGGCCATGGGAATCTCTACCTTCTTCTGTGTGAAGCCAGGAAAGAATCTTTCATACACATAAGAAAGCAGACAACTAGATTAAAGAGGAAGAGCCATCTAATGCAGCCCTCCTGACATTCACATAAGGCCCTAAAACTGTGAATGATTTCATATCCTCATTCGCTAATATTATCCAATAAAATAAAAAGATAACTCCAACCTAACAATGGCAACTTTTGGGTCTTCTCAGGATTAAAACTATCATCAATTCATTAAACTAAAAGTTTTAAATTGCAGACAAAGACAGTAAATCATGAAATTGAACATCTGAGAGTGAACATCTGAGAATTATAACATCAGCAAATCACGCACTGCAACATTGTATGTAGTACAAAAAGACTTACAAAAAAAAATTTCCACAGGGACAGAAACCTTATGCATCTTCATCCCTGATATATGCCTAGCACAGTACATGACAACTAGTATGCGCTCAATAGATATTTGCAATTTTTGGAAAACAACCATTGGGGTTTCTTTTTTTCTTTTTTCTTTTTATTATTGTACTTTAGATGAAAGTTTACGCTCAAGTTAACTTTTCATTCGAAAATGTATACACATTGTTTCATGACACTGTCATTGGGTTGATGATTAGCATTCTCATTAGATATCATTTAGTGTTCTCAGTCTTGGTTGTACCTGAGAAACAAATGCAAAGCTTTTAAAAAATATCAGTGCCTGAGCTCCAAGCTAGACCAGTTAAATCAAAATCTCTGCCAATGGGGCCCCCATATCAGTATTTTTTAAAAAAAACTCCACCCATTGCCGTAAAGTTGATTTCGATTCCTAGCGACCCTATAAAAGAACTCTAGGTGATTCTAATGTTGAGGACAACTAGATAAGATTATCTGCCTCCTCTCTCTGTTTACTAAACCAAAAAACCAAACCTGTTGCCATTGAGTTGATTCCAAATCACAGCATCCCTCTAGGACAGACTAGAACTGCCCCATAGGGCTTCCAAAGAGCAGCTGGTGGATTCAAACTGCCAACCTTTTGGTTAACAGTTGAGTTCTTAACCACTGCGCCACCAGGGCTCCCTTCACTCTACTAGCTTCTTGCTTTTTTAAAAGAGTGGTGCTGTTTGGGGAAAGAGCACTGTGTTACAAGGCTGGTGGAAGTATAAACTGGTACAACTTCTACAGGAGGAAATTTGTCAATATCTATCACAACATGCATGTACCTTTTGACTTAGTGATTTTGCTGTTAGGAATGTATCCTACAGATATGCTAGCACATGAGCATGACACCACATGTACAAGGTTATTACCTGCAGCATAGTTTATAATAGCAGAAGAATGGGAAAATCTAAACATCCATAAATTAGGGATTGTCTAAATAAATGATGGAATATCGTTCACCTGTATAAAAAAGGAGGAATTTTTTTTTTTTCCTGGAAAGTATGTATAGAATGCTACCTTTTGTGGTAGGCTCTGACTTACGACGTATTTGAATTATGATGAACCGCATTTACGACCTTTCATTTTGTGTGGTTTTTTTTTTTTGTACATCTTTTCATACTGCATACAATGTTGCAATGAGTAATTTGCTAACGTTATGATTCTCAGATGTTCACTCACAGATGTTCAATTTTATGATTTATTGTTCAAAACACTGTGTATAGATTTCGTTTTCTAAACTAAATCAGGGGCTTCAGGGGCTTGAAAACATGGGCCCAAACGCTGATCACTTTGCTAAAGTAGGCAGATTCGGGAAGCAGTGAAATGTTACCACTAAATATATGAAGAAAAAAAGAAAAAGACCACAGAGACAGCTCTTACTAATTTTCTGACTAGAGGCACCATCCCCATTCACATGGATAATCCAGATGATCCAGAACTTTTCATGAGTGGAGTTATTACTGCAACTGACAAAAGGCCAACATTGGCCAACTCTTCTTGATCGTTGGAGTAAATTTTTATGATTTGTGTATTTTTTTATGTATGTATATATGCACTAAAATATATCTGTAGGTTTATATGTAATATTTCCAACCCTTGGAGACAAAGATTGGATTTATGAAGATACTGATAATAAAAGGCAGTAATAATGAAAACAAAAAAAATGATGTATTTGACTTATGTCAGAACGAACTTATGACAACAGAGTCATCGAAACGGAACTTCATTGTAAGTTGGGGACTACCGGTGTATTTAAATATATATAGCTTATATTTATTTAATACATATATAACATATGGGGGTAGTGGTGGTTCAGTGGTAGAATTCTTGTCTTCCACGCGGAGATCCAAGTTTGGTTCCCAACTAATGCACCTAATGTGCGGCCACCACCTGTCTGTTAGTGGAGGCTTGCACGTTGACATGATGCTGAACAGGTTTCAGTGGAGCTTCCAGACTAAGACAGACTAGGAAAAAAGACCTAGCAATTTACTTCCAAAAAATCAGCCAATGAAAACTCTATGGATCACAACAGTCTGATCCCATTGTGCATGGGTTCATCATGAGTCGGGGGCCAACTGGACAGCAGCTAACAACAACAACATATATGTGTGTATGCATGTTTGTATATGTAGTGACTACCTCTGGAAAGATACGTAAGAAACTAATAAATAACAATGAATAACACTGATTGCCTTTGGGGCAGTAAACTGGTTGGCTAGGGGAATAGGGATAGGAAGGAGACTTTTCACTGTCTACTTCTTTGCACCTTTTGAATTTTGAAAATTTTTAACGTATTACCTATTTTTGAAATGAAATTGTTTTTAGTGAGTAAAACAAGAGAAGAGTATGTAGCTATGCCCAATAAAACTGTATTCTTTTCAAGTTCTAAAAGAAGACATTTAAAAAATGTTGATAGGGAATGAATTATAAACTCTTCTAAAATACAGACGAAGTTTTCTCCATGATTGGTGCACCCCAGGACGCCTACTACTGTGCACTGTGCATAGTAAATGTTCAGCCAGTGTTACATTGCCTACCATGTATTTTGTTCATTGAAAAGCTATCATATGATTAAAAGATTTTTGAGAAATCTACCACCTGAATACATGGAGTTGCCATGAGTCAGAATCAACTCGATGGCAACTAACAACACCAACTGAACTATTTTTTAAGTTATTTCCTTGCTACCCATAAGCATACATTTTTACATAGCTGCCACAATTATATAAATTCTTTTGCATCCTCTTCCCTCTTCTTCCATATTTTTAGAATATTCTCAATAATTAAAATTTGAATGCCTACATAATACTTTCTCTTTTGATGTCTTATATTTAAATAATTCCCTGATTGTTGGGCATTTGACATTTTGCAAGAATTGAATCAGTCTGTAGAAATTCACTATAGTTTAAATTCAATATAATTGAATATATTTCACTGAAGTAAACTGTGTTTGCTTCTACTGTCATGGAGGTTTCAAATTATGGCGTATCCATACAATGTAATAGGTAGCTATTAAAATGAATATTTACTAATATGAAAAGATGTCTATGATATATGAAAAGAGGTTATGATACACAATTCCATTTCTGTTTAAAGACATAATATTTATAAATGTATGTCTCTGCTTTTAAGTATACAGGAGAAGAGGAGATTCTGCACCTGGCCCCTTGGTGTTTTACCTGTGCTGGTTTGAGCACTAAGGTATTGCCTGCTGCCAAACATGCGGCACTCTTCCACGCCAGCATCATCAGTGGGTAATTCCAGGGGATGATAATGGCACAGACTCTGCAGAGGAAAAATATAACATCCTTAGTTGTCTCAAATTAACACAACACATACAGATCACTCAGAGGAGCTCCTCTTGTCTTACCCAAGTGGTTCCTTCTTGGTGAAGGTCAGATTGCGATTTGGACGGGCTTGGTTAATTGGAATTGTAGAACCCTAAAGCGTAAAAAAGGTTGATACTTATTTTATTAATTTAAATTAGTTTCTCAAAGAAAGAATCCATTTACTGTTCTCCTCTATTATTTTTTCTTAGCTGCTATGAAAAGGCAGTGTTCTGTTTATAAAAAATATATCTATACCAAAAAGGAACTTCTATTTCTTTCTTGAAAGAACTATGAAACACAGGAGAATGAACATAATTCTAATTTAGTCACCCTCCATTTCCAATTTCCTGGCGTGGCAGAAAATGTTAATTGCCTGCCCAATATCCATTCTTTCCTCTGTTTTTAGTACAGAACCCCTATATTAATACTGGGGACAGCAATGTGCCCAGATAAAACACTACATTTCCATGTCTCTCTAGCAGATAGGGATGGCCAATGGAATATGTAAGCACAAGGCACTGGAGGTGGATTGCTCTTTAAAGTAGGCTGACTCAGCTAGAAAGAGTGTCCTTTTATCCTTCTCTCTCTCCCCCACTTCCTTCTTCCTGCTAGGAGTGTGATTGTGATGGCTGGCACTGCAATGGCTATCATGAGACCATGAGACAACCTTGAGGATGGAGGTCATGTGGTATTAAGGATGGCAAAGCACAGAGAAAAGGAGCTTGCAGCTCACATACTGGCCCCAACTGTTTGCCTTTGGACTCCTTGAAAGCAAGAGAAAAATAAACTTCTTATTTGAGTTTTCTGTTATATGTACCCAAACTTAATCCCAACTGATGTATGATGGTAATCTTTAACTGAAGCTATTTCTTTGCTTTGCCACATAAAATATTATTGCTGTTACTAATACAAGGAGCCCTGGTGGCACAGTGGTTAAGCGCTCAGATGCTAACCCAAAGGTCAGCAGTTTGAGCCCACCAACCACTCCACAGGAGAAAGATGTGGCAGTCTGCTTCTGTAAAGATTTACAGCCTTGGAAACCCTATGGGGGCAGTTCTACTCTGTCCTATAGAGTCACTATGAGTCAGAATAAACTCGACGGCAACGGGTTTGGTTTTGGGTTTGGTTTACTACAAGTGATACTCTGTTGTCTGAAACCCTGGGGCCAGATGTGTTTTGGAATTCAGAATTTCTTGGATTTTAAAAACATAGTGTATATACCTTACATTTATGATATATTATGTATACCCCATTAGGGTCTCGGGCAGTTCCCCATAATCAAACACATTAATATGTATTCAGTAAAACATGAATAGTCACTCTAGGAGATATAAATAAAGGTTATAAATAAACTCATGTTGGTTCAGGTCAGGTTTGGGTACCAAATGAGTTTGAACCAATCAAACAAATTTTCAAGTTTCAGAGTTATTTGGGTTTCATAATTGAGGATAAGAGATGGACCTGAAGCAACATTACTAAATACCTATATATGCATGATTTTGTGGATAAACAAAAATAAAAACCACATATATGTGCAAGACCTGCTATATTGCATACTTCTCTAATCTTGTAATATTATAAACACATTTCTAATCCTCATAACTTGCAAGGTGTGTATTATTGTGACCATTTTACAAATGAAGAAAGTAAGCTCAAAGAGGTAAAATAACTTATACAACATCAGCTGGTAAGTGGCAAAGCTCAGTCATGAACCCAAGTGTTATGAATTGAATTGTGCCCTCCAAAAAGATATACTGGAGTCCTAACCCCTGCACTGATGAATGTGACCTTGTTTGGGGAAATAGGGTTTTCCTTGCAAATATTATCAATTAAGTTAACAAAGTCATACTGGAGTATGGTGGGTCCTAATCCTAATCTCTTTGGAGTGGTGTCTTACGGAAGAGAAGGACAGACACAGAAACAGAGTACAACACAGGAAAATACACCATGTGAGGATCTATCTATAAGCCAAGGAACGCCAAAGATTGCCAGCAGCCACTAGAAACTAGGAGAGAGGCATGGAACAGTTCCTCTTTCAAAGCCCCAATGAAAGAGTCAGCATGGCTGAGACCCTGATTTGGACTTCTAGCCTCCAGAACCATGAGAAAATAAATTTCTGGTCTTTAAAGCCACCCACTTTGTGGTATTTGTTGTGGCAGCCCTCAGAAACTAAGACACCCAGGTATCTCTGATTCTATATTAATATTGGTTGCAGCAATGTGCCCAGATAAAACACTGTGTTTCCCACTCTCCTAACAGATAGAGACGACAAACGGAAGAGGTAAGCACAAGGCACTGGGAGAGTGGGGACGCTCTTTAAAGTCCTTTTTTACCTTTCTCCCTCTGCCCTACTTCCTCCTTCTCCTGCTAGGAACGTGGGTGTGATGGCTGGTACTGCAGTAGCTATTGTGGGTCTATGAGCAGCATGCATTTTGCTGTTTGCCACACACCCTGTCTTTCCCTTTTGTATTCCCAAGGCCGAGACCAAGTGTTGTTGCTATTTATCATCACACTTGTGGTATTTATTTTTTTATAGTAAAAGGGAAAACAAAACATTTATTGTACCCGTGTCTTTATAAAAAATTTCCTTACACCCAGCCTGCTTCACCCACCTACATTAGCTCTCTGGCCTCTATAGGCATTTGAGTTTGCAATTCCTACGTGACACCAGGCTTCCTGCTAAACGTCTAGAAGACTATTACATGCCCTCAGGAGACATTATAGTAAAGCACAAAGAATATCATTAAGCCTTTGGTTCAGAAAATGTTGAGTTCAAATGCTGGCTCTATGGTTTACTTGCTATGTAATCACAGGCAAATTATTCATTATCTTCAAGCCTCTGTTTCCTTACCTGTAATAAGGGGATAATAGCTATCCAATGACCTCACATGGTTGTTATGGGGATTAGATGAGTAAAACCTATATAAGAGGTGGCTCTGACAGTGTACAAACTAATAAATGTTCATCCCTTTTCCTTTTGGAATGATCTACATGGGGACAACATTTGTGCTTACCTGAATTTTGTCACACCAGCCAGCAAAATATCTGAATGTTTGCACAGACATTCCAATGTGAGTCTTCAGAGCCAAGGTATAGACGGCCCCTGAATCAAGGGCTTCAATGGTCGCCAGCTCTTCTTGGTTCTCTTCCAACAGGTCTGCAAGTCTGTAAGGCCAATGAGAGAAATTAATGCAACAAATATGATTGAGTTCCTATTACTTTTAAGGCATTGTACTAAGGGCTTAATATTCAGAGGTAAGCACAAGGGGACCAGGTCTCTGTCCTCATGGAGATTATGGTCCAGTAGGGAAGACAGTCCTATCGGGTTGCTATGAGTCGGAATCAACTCAATGGCAATGGGTTTGGTTTTTCGTTTTTTTGGTTTAGGGAAGACAGACATTAAACAAATAATTTCATGAAAACTTTGTTTCAAGGGTTACAAACGAGAACTAGAAGATGCTGGGAGCATGCACAGCTTGCCTCACAAACGCATAAGAAGTGCAACGGTTACAGCCACAGTAATCCAAGGAGATCAAGGACAGAAATCAGTGGGAATGTGGACAGTTCCATGAATATACATGGAGACGTTAGAGTGAAACCCATGAGAGTCCATGAACACTTGAGAATTTCCGATTGGTCCTCTTCCACTAACTGTAGAGGACAAGATAGAATTACACAGACTGAATCACAAATACCACAGCAGACTTCTGTTTGGTGTCTAGTTTCTATAGGAAGATAAATGCAGGACTGTATTATGAAAAAATAAAAATTCATCTTTTGCATTCATCTCCTCCATTAGTTTTCCTTCCTTTCTTCCATTAGTAGACAGTTCTAGAGATGGGTTCAAAATCTCCCTCCCTAATGTTTCTTCCAGGTCCTCTTCTAAGAGATCTTTTGACCAAGGTCAGATATTGGGCTTTAGGTAAGTAGAAACTGAATTTATGGTTGAATTTAATTACTCTTGGTATAGTTAGTTACCAATTTATAAAACTCTCTCCAGGCCTTAGTATTTTCTCTGCTTGCTCCTACTCACTATCCATCAAGTAGGTTTAAATTTTATCTTTGTAAACAACAGGGAACTGGGTATTCTCCATTTGCTGCTCCATGTCCACTCTCCACCCTGCTCTGTGACTTGGGAGGATGACCTTTATAGACTAAATCCCCTGGGCTCCCTTGCTCTCTGGCTAGGTTTGGCCAACAGGAGACCAATGGGAAGCACCTGCAGGAGGTGAGTGAGCCAGAGGAGAAAGTGGGGAATTCAATTTCCCTGGCTCCCTCACTAGAGGCCTGGTGGTGCAGTGATTAACAGCTCGGCTGCTACCAGAAAGTCGGCAGTTTGAATCCACCAGCCACTCCTTGGAAACCTTATGGGGCAGTTCCACCCTGTCCTATAGGGTTGCTATGAGTTGGAATCGACTCGACGGCAATTTTTTTTTTTTTTTGTCTCACTAGTGGTCTGTGGTTTAGCGGCTGCTGTGTCCGTCCATCAAAGACCACTGCAGTGTGGTCCTCTCCTACAGATACAAATCTTGCCAGATTCTAGTAACAGCTCCCTCTTGGTCTCTTTAGACTTTGGAGTAGTAGCAGCTTCTGCCCGCCCACTGCTAGCCCTCCATGGTGTGCTTCATTTCATTATCCCTTGTTGGATTCCCTTGACTTTGCCCAGATTTTTGTAAATAGTCCCTTCATTAAACTTCTTGTCCTACTGGGAGCCTGACTGACACAAGCAATAATGCAAAAATCAAGAACTCACACGCATGGGATTTTACATGATACAAGTAACAAGACACAATTTTATAATAGGCACATATTAGAATGTTTTGAAGAAATCTCAGAAGTCTTGGCAATGGTAGCCAATATTCAAAGGTAACAAACTTGCCTTTAAAAAAAAACAAAAAAATACCTGTACATCAGTCTTCCTCTTTCTCTTGCATTCATTCGTCCCCATTCACCATTTTCAAAAGCATCTTTTGCTGCTGCGACTGCTTTATCGACATCCACCAACGAAGCATAGGATACTTTGCATATTGTCTATTTCAAGATGAGCAAACATGGGTTATATAAGAGATATACAATAAGTTTCCTGGAATTATTGTTACATTAACAAAAAAATAACAGTATTACTTATAAAATCCAAAATTTTACAACAGAAAATTAATACATCTAGTAATATAGTAGAGAAAAAGAAACAATTTTAACATGCAAATTATGAGCCTGAAATCTGGTGCTTCTCATGTTATACTATACTATGGAAGGACACATTTAGGAAGACTATACTTATTCCTTTCAGTGCCTTGTTGTTAGCGTCCATAGAGCAGACTCTGACTCATAATGACCTTATGTATAACAGAATGAAATGGTGTTTTAGAGAAGTGAAATTTCTTGCCATGAGTTTGAAAAGTCTGAAAATTTTCTCCACAGACATCTTTTTGTGGAGGTGTGCTTCTCATTTTCCTAGGTATAGCTAACTATTTAACTTCTTCACAAATATTTCTTCTATAAAATAGGTTACTGCAGTCAACAGCAGCAATGCCAGAATTGAATGCAGGCAGTCCCCAGATTACAAATGAGTTCTGTTCCTAAATCTGTCTTCCTGTCGAATTTGTACATAAATTGGAACAGTTAGGTATGGTTCGTATCTAACAGCAGTTAATCAGATGTTTGTATTAGTATCTAGTGTACCATTCTATGCACAAAAACATTAAAGAAACACTTCCAGATACACTAAAACATCTTAAACATAATAACACAGTAATGATAATAATAATGTTTTGATGCACACTGCAAAGTAATGCCCATTTGTTATTATGAACCATTGTACGTACCTCGACGGAAAACTGCCTGTAGTTGGAAAAAATGGAAGAAGCACATTTATATTAAGTGCTTGGAGAAAGGGTGATAGAGTAAAATAGCTTCTTAAGACTGACTGTTTTATAACCATGTGAAAACCAAACACCAAACCCATTGCTGTTGAGTCGATTCCAACTCATAGCGACCCCACAGGACAGAGCAGAACTGCCTCACAGGGTTTCCAAGGAGCAGCTGGTGGATTCGAACTGCTGACCTTTTGATTAGCAGCCGAGTTTCTTAACCACTGCGCCACCAGGGCTCCAACTAAAAATCCATGACCAGTGGCCACTGCACACACTAAATAATTACTCACAGATCCATCCGTTGGGTTGATAGTGTCGTAAGTCTTTCCATCATCAGCATCTATGAACTGTCCATTTATGAAACACTGATATGGCATATTTACTGTCATTTCATTGACCTCCTTTGAAACCTGAGAGGATTATATTAATAGTTTCAGTGTATTTCTGTGCTTATCCATTTGATACCAAATAGCAATAAAGAAGCATATTCATTAGTGCAGGGAGAGAAGTTACATCAATGCGATTCCAGAAGAGACAAGCATATGTAAGATGCGGGCCTCAGGGTGCTCAGCTTGGCCACTGACAGCAGGAGGTAGCATCTGTTATGACATAAGTGCTCCAGTCTGAGTTTAATAAAGATCTCAGATTTTCTTCCTTACACTGATGAAAGATAAATCAAAAGACCTCCAGAAAATGAAAACACCACCATCTAGTGGCAGCATCAATGAAATGCAACCATTGGTTTCCTTTAAAAATCAGTTGCCAGTGAGTCCACTCTGACTCATGGCGACCTCGTGTGTTTCAGAGTAGAAATGTGCTGCATAGGGTTCTCAATGGCTGATTTTTTGGAAGTTGATTGCCAGGCCTTTCTTCCAAGGTGTCTCTGGGTAGACTCGAACTTCCAACATTTTGGTTAACAGCCAAACATTTTAACTGTTTGCACCACCCAGAGACATGTAAATCCTTGAAAATGCCTTTGTAAATAGGTTTCTTTTTACACTGATGCCATTTTAAGTTTTCTTCCTTTAAGTTCCTCCCCATTTTCACTTCCTCTCCGTTACATATCTGTTGCCTAAACTCTACTCTCTATCATCGGCTAGTAAGTAGGCTTAGGTTGGTCAGTTAACTTCAATGAGCCTCAGTTTTTCTTTAACAGTAAAATAAGGATACTAACACTTGTCTTATATGGTTACTGTGAGGATTAATTGAGATAATATTTGTGAAAAGGCATTTTTGGCATAGAATTCCGTATCAATGCAAGGTATTAAAAAGGAAATTAAAATTATTAAAAAATCATTTCATAGAGAGAAACTGACAATGCTTTAAAAACAAACAAAAAAATAGCAAGAGGACATCTTGCCTTACCCCATACCAAGTATTTATTTTCCATGAAGTATTTCCAAATAAATGAAAAAGAGTATAGAGAAAATCAACAAAACCAAAAGTTGGGTTCTTTGAAAAGTCAACGAAATTGATAAACATTTAGTTATACAGCTCTTCCAAAAAAATAGGAAAAAAGGAACACTTTCCAACTTATTCCATGAAGTTATACCAAAACCAGACAAAGATATCACAGGGAAAAAAATACTATAGGCCAATATGCCTTATGAATATAGATGCAAAAATCCTCAACAAAATACTATCAAACCAAATCCAGCATCATATAAAAAGGATTATACAACATGACTAACTGTGATTTATCCCAGGAATACAAGATTGGTCTAACATGAAAATCAATCAGTGTAATACTCCATATTCATAGAATAAAGAATAAAAAATCACATTACCATCTAAATAGGAACAGAAAAAGCATTTGACAAAATCCAACACCCTTTTACGATTAAAAAAACACTCAACAAACTAGGAAGTAGAAGGAAAACTTCCTCTACCTGATAAAGGGCATCTGTGAAAAACTCACAGCTAATACCATAGTTAATGATGAAAGAACGAATACTTTCTCCTAAAATCAGGAGCAAGAGAACGATGTCTGCTCCCACCATTTCTATTCAGCATTGTTTTAGGGGTTCTAGCCAGGGCAATTAAGCAAGAGAAAAGAAATAAAAGACATCCAGATTGGAAAGAAAGAAGTAAAACTATCTCTATTTGCATATGATATGATCTTGTATTCTAAAGAATTCACAAAAGATCAATATACAAAAATAGATGTTATTTCTATACACTAGTAAAGAACAATCCTAAAATGGAGTTAAGAACACAATTCAATTTACAATAACATGGAAAAAAAAAAAACTAGCACCAAATTTAACAAAATAAGTGCAAGAACACTAACAACTACAAAACATCATTGAAAGAAATTAAAGAATATTTAAATAAAATGGAAAGACATCCCATGTTCATGAATTGGAAGATTTAATATTAAGATGGCAATACCCCTCAAACTGATCTGAAGATTTAACTCTATCAAAATCCCAGCTGCCATTTTTGCAGAAATTGACAAGCTGATCCTAAATTTCATTTGGAAATTCAGGGGACCCAGAATAGTCAAAACAATCTTGAAAAAGAGGAGCAGAGTAGGAGGACTCACATTTTGCAATTTCAAAACTTACTATAAAGTTACAATAATCAAGACAGTGATGTACTATCATAAGGATACACATACCGATCAATGGAATAGAATTAAGAGTCCAGAAATAAACACTTATATTTGTGATCAATTGATTTTCAACAAGGGTGCCAAAACAATTCAATGGGGGAAAGAACAGTCTTTTCAACTAATGGTTCTGGGACAACTGGATGTCCACATGCAAAATAATGAAATTTAACCACTCCCTCACATCACATATAAAAACTAACTCAAAATGGATCATATCTCTATCTATAAAAGCTAAACAATAAAACTGTTAGAAGAAAATATATCAGTAATCGCTGTGGTATTGGATTAGGAAATGATTTATTAGGTATGATACCAAAAGAGCAAGTGGCAAAAGAAAAAAATTGATAAATTGGACTTCATCAAAATTAAAAACTTCTGTGTATCAAAGGATATTATCAAGGAAGTGAAAAGACAACCCACAGAATGGGAGAAAATATTTGCAATATTTGCAATAGAGCTATTTCCAATAGATCTGTTACTTTAAAAAGTAAAAAAAAAAAAAAAAAAATGGATGAAAGATACAGCTTTCTTTTAGAGTATATGAATCTTAATAATTTGGATTTTAAACACCAAAGAAAAGGCTTACATAATCTACTACCAGCTCCGTTTCTTGGTCTTCTCCCCTCAGTTTCCTCACGACCTTTTGGATGAAGTCTCCAAACTTGGTGGCCATATAAACATCTTCACTCTGTAACTGAAGCCCACCACATTTCTGTCTGATCTCTTCAACCAACCTTAAAGTAAGAACCAGCTCATGTTACTTACATTTTTAAAAAAGAGTTTGGGGGAATTGTGTTATTAGCATTTGTCAAGCTGTTTTGAAGTAAGACTTATGTCATATGCCTATTTGTATCCTATGAGATTTTCTGTGATAATAATCAGAAAATTTGATAAAACAGATGGAAAGAAAAAAAAATTTTAATTTGTCTTGAAGGGCAATGGAAAATTTTACTTGTTTTGTTTTTAATTTTATACATGGCTAAAAATAAATCAAGGCAAAAAACATTTTAGTTACTTGCAAGCAAGATTCTAAGGGGCATATAAGGTCAGTTCCTTTTTTTCCAAATGTACTCAAGAAATAAGAAGTAAAGGAAATTTCTTAACTATATAAGGAACTATGAGAAACTAAAGTCATACTGTAGAATATTTTCTCTAGATCATATCTAAGAATAAAACAGACATTTGTTTGTTTTACATGGTTAAAGAAAGTACAAGCTAGAACCATGCAGTAGGACAATATAATTTTTGGGAGTCCTTTCTAATCCTTGATTTTCACTGTTAATTTGTCAGATTACAGCTGTTACTTAACATTTCTTAAATAGCAATAGTGTGCTAGGTAAAGCATAAAAAGCTTGTCAGAGTTATTATTCAGTCATTTATTCTGTAAAAAAGATGAGGTGCCTTGGTCATTCACGGTAATAATATCAGATGATTACGGTAAGTCAGACACTAAGACAGGAAATGGGTAATTCCTGCAGGATATCTTGTTAGGAAAAAAATAGTATTAATAGTACAGTATCAAAATTTTTAGTTGGACAAATTAGAAGTTTCTAGTAACTTATCATAGCTGAGAAAGCTGTTATTTGAGGAACCAAAACTCTTGATTTTTGATTTTACTATTTGTTCTTGAGATGACTACTTTTAATTACTGGAATAAAAACCTCATGAATGCAGAGACCTGGTCTTATTCACGACACTATCCCCAGTCCAAAAACTTTTCCTGATATGTAGTAGGTATTCAATAAATTTTATTAAATAAGTGAGTGAATGGATGTATAAACAGAATATTCATCAGGAACACTCATTTTGTTGATATGAAAGATATCAAGAGGAGGGAGATGTGTTATCTTGTTTAAACAGTGAATGGCCCTCGTGTGGCCTTCTCTCCCCTGTCTAGGATCAAAATCCCCTTACCCTGTATTCTCTGCACCCAACACCAAGGGACCTCACAGCCCCTGGTTATTTCTCAACAGTGTTGTTATCCCAGTTGCTCAAAGAAAAAACACCTCTGAAAGATTCTGCACTATTACGATACTGGTATAGTTTTCTTGCAAAACTAGTTGCCATGAAGTTGATTCCAGCTCATGGTGACCTCATGTGTGTCAGAGTAGAACTGTGCTCCATTTTTAATGCCTGATTTTTTTTTCAGAAGTAGATCGCCAGGGCTTTCTTCCGAGGCATCTCTGGGTGGATTCGAACCACTAACCATTCAGATAGCAACTGAGCACGTTAACCGTTTGCACCACCCAGGGACTCCTTTCTTGTCACATGGGGGCACTTTCTAGGACTCTAGGCCTTTCAACTTGCTGTAAACCTCTGTACAGAAATTCTGACTAAAAGGTGATTATCCTTACTCTTGCAAGTAGCCTGATAACCCTCCTTTTAGCTCTGTCTTACTGGGTAATTTGGGGGGATAGGAGAAAATAGATTTTGGGGAAAGTGTAATCATCATCAGGTATCCTCCTGGATCAGACTGCATAGGACATTCTTGATTAACATTATCACCTATCTCACTTCAGAACTTCCCAATTTCAATGTCATGCTGGAGGAAAAATCAGCTAAGAAATTGGTGTACAAATTTAAAATAGAAAAAAAAAATTACAGGAGTGGGTTTTCTAGGTATACAGGGCATATGGAATCAACTCCTGGTCAATAGCAAAGAGAAAGGAACAAACATATGCGTGTGACCATGGGAGAAGAAAAGATAAAGAAAACAGAAGTGTAGCATACATATGATAGAGTGATAAAGCCCAGAACAAAGAATTTGGATCCAATTTTCAAAGTCAAAGAGGAGCCGGTGAAGGGATGTGAGTCAGTATGGTGGTGGTTTTACCTGGCAACATCTACTGATCCTCCTCCAGATTTAAAGAAGTCCGTTGAGTCTTCAATAACAGAGATGTTGCTTAAAATTCCAGCCCATATGGCCTACGCAAAAAGGGAAATTTTTATGAGGGAAGTGTCAGGTAGAACGCAGTGGTAGAGCGGCTAGCTCTTTACCAATCTTGGTTCTTCTTCTTGGATACATAGCTTGACTATATTTCCCAGCATCCCTTCAAGTCAGGTGCAGCCACGTGATGGACTTCTAGCCAATATAATGTGATTGGGATTGATTTGTGCACTCCAGGCTTGGCCCATGAGAAACTCCCTCCTCCCAGAAATTCTCTGGGCTCTTTTTCCTTTCTGTCTGTCTGGAATGGAGATGACCCCCAGGGTAACCTTGAAGATAGAAGAGCCTGGGCCCCTGAATGATTCCACCACTAAACACCAATTCCCAGCTCCACCCCTAATCCTCATGTCAATCTAGAACTGCTGTGGGTTATTTACGTAAGTGAGAAATAAATTTTTATATACTGTGTTTGAGCCATTTAGATTTTGGGGTTGATTTCCTACAGCAACTAACACACACACACACAAAAAAGAAATAAAGTTCTAAGCCCACTACTTTGAGAACTGATGGTGCCTATTACAAATAAGTTTCAGTTTTGCAGAGCAAGAGGAACATTAAGGAACCACCAGTAAAGACATCTCATGTTCACCTTGATGGTCTCTGCCACCTTCATTTCTTCAGGTGTAAGTTCTACCACTGACATCTCACCCGCTGAAAAGTACTGAGAGGCGGGAATCATTTTTCCATCTTCAAACTGTAGATTTCTCACTATCAGCTACAAAATAGCAACAAAACCAGTAGGTAAGACTAGGATTAGAATAATTTAAAAGCAAGGCTGATGGGAGAAGGAGTCATCCATTATATAGGTATAAGGACCATCTTATTTGGAAAATACAAAAATATGGGTTTAAAGCACTTAACATTATGTGTAAAATCAATAAAAAGGCATTTTAATAACAGCAGCAGAAAGGAGAAAGTTAAGTCTAGGGGTGGATGCATCTTAAAATGGATAAAGCCCATGAAAAATTGGATGTAGATATGTGGGCCAATGACAATGACGACAACAGCAGCCATTGTCTGAGCGCTTACTTTGCGCCATGCATGGTGCTTTAACCTCATAAATTCTGATGGAGCCAGGTGCCTTATTATTCCCATTTTACTGATGAGAAAATGAAGGCTCAATCAAGTTAAGTCATTTGTGAATGCCACACAGCTAGTAAGTGACAGAGTGGGGATTAGAATCCAGAACTAGTTGAACCCCAAAGCCCCTACAATCTTAATGACTGAGCTAGCCTGCAGCTGTAAGATCCAAATTCCCTTTTGCACTCTCTACTGGGAAGCTGCCCAGGAGCCCACTGAGCCCAGACCCAAGGCTCCCATGTACAGGCAGTATAGGTGCAGCTGAAGGGGGCCATATCCATGATCTCATTTGACCCTTCCAGATGCAGGCAGTGGGAAGTCAGTGAGACAGGGTTACTTTCTCTCTTATGCAGAGGAGGAGACTGAGACTCAGAGGGGAGAAGCATCCTTCCCAAGACCATGGCCAGTAGGTAATAGAGGGATTCAAACCCCTATCTCCTAGCTGAATTCTGAACTCTTTCTCCTGTATTACAAAGTTGACTGTGCCAGCCCTTGGGGCCCATGCTAAGGAGGCAGAGCTCAACCCCAGAGGGAAATGGGGCCCAGATAGCTTGATCTTCCTTACACCCATAGCAAAGCCTGATTCTCTCAATAGCTTGGGTTATGGAAGGAAACCAAAAAAGTTATTTTATTGGTGACCATATTGAACACTCACTGCTTTTCCATCATTACCAAAAAGAACAAGTCCTTTTTTGGTAACAAGACCAGGCTTCTGGGCACCTTTAATTTCCAGTGGTTCTCCAGGAGGCATAGAGCTATTCAGTAATGATGAGCCATAGAAAGTAACCATCTAAAAAAGAGATCAAAACCAGTTTTTGAAATCAGGAAGTGAAGGCAAGTACCCCTCCCTGAAAAAAAGCTGAAGTTAGAATTCTCATCTAGAATAAAATCAGGATACCACAAGGTGTGGGAGACTGTAGTGGCATTTGTAGAAATAATACAAAGCAAGAGATGATCTGTGAATGTGTGATTGAAGAGTTTCAAAAATGTCCCACATCCAGGGGACATGAGTATACATTTATTATTTATTCACATTGATATAAATGTGATTGAGATTAAAAGTTCTCACAGACCTTACCTAAAAGACTTTACCTACCTTTAGCCTAAAGGTAGGGGTTGGAGTTGGGGGAGTAGAGGTGTTGGGGAGGAAGGAAGATGTAGACTAGTAAACAGACCTTTACTTTCCCAGTGATAAGCGATGGGAAAGTACAAGGTGCTTTGAAGGTCAGCTCAAGGAAACAGGACTAGATCCAGACTGTAACTAAGCTTGACCTTGATGGAGTTTATTATTATAATTCTATGACTTTACTATCATTTACTTAGCACAACAATAACTAACATTTACTGAACACTTACTCTGTGCCAGGGACCAAGTACTTAAATGAATAAACATGTATTAACTCACAATAACCCATAACCTAAAAGGAAGGCACTATTATTAGTCCAATATTAAAATGAAGAAAGCAGGGCACCCTATGGTTAAGGATCCTGCCCAAGGTTGTACAGAAAACAGTGGCAGAGCCAGAATTTTAACAGAAAGATTCTGCCTTCAGATCCCACACTCTTAACCACCATGCTAAACTTCCTGTCTTGGTCCTTCATCAATCCCACCCATTCTTATTGGAACCCAATATGCACTAAGAATTGTGCTTGAGTGCTGAGGTGATCAAGACAGTAACATGAAGCCCTTGCCCCAAGGCCTTCATAGTCTAGATGGGGGTAGGGAGGCAGATAAATAAAGAGACCCTTACAGGATACAATATTCAATAGGCTGTGTCAGGGATAAGGCAGGGTGTTGTTGGAATAGAGAAGAGGGACACCCAACTCCACCAGACTAGACATGTGAGGAGGTCAGGAAATTTTCTAGAAGAGGTGGAACCTGAGAACCTGAGCTGAGCTTAAGTCCCCACAGAGCAGAAGGCCCTTCACACTCCTGCTCCTGCCCATCCCTCCTGCTTCATCTCTCCCCATACCTCACCTCAGTCAGGAGGCTCCCACTTCATTGAACTCTTTTGCAATTCTTTGACTGGGCCATACACTCTCCCACCTCTGGGTCATCTGACTTACTTCACCTCCTGCACCTCTCTGTCTCACTCTCCACCTGGCTAACTCTTCTCAAAGTGCAAGCATAGCAGTCAGCTGTTCTAGGAAGCCTCCCATGACCAGCCTGAGTCTAGGCCTCAATTACAGCATTTATCTTACGGCATTTTGAGCGTTGATTAACTTCTCTGCCTTCTCTATAAAACAGGAGGCTCCTTGGGAGCAGAAGCTGTGCCCAGTGTCTGCCTCACAGTAAATGTTCAATACAAGTTAATTCAAGTGTAGGGTGTTTTCTCTTCATCATGCCACCACAAATCTCTTTGCTGGTCACATATACCTAGAATCACAGACCCTCACTATCACCAAGGAAAGGTCCAGGGGGAGCTGTGACTTAATTAAGTTCATTGTAAAAAAAAAAAAAAAGAATTGGTCCCTAAGACATACCTGTCCATTTATCTCTGTCCAAGCTCCAGGGACTTTATCATGGCCTCGGATCCAATTATGTAAAACTTCAGCAGACTGATCCCAAGAAATCTACGAGAGCACAAAGCACAGGCTGAACCCCTAATGCTGTGAGTCTCAAAGGCAATAGAAAACATTTCTCTCCATCAGTGGCAGAAGTAGGTAGAGGAGGATGGCTTGGAGATCTCCCTTTTGGACAGGAAATGATACATTGGGAACGACTTAAAATCTAGAAGGCTATGAAATTTGAGATGTGTTACTGAGTTGCTATAAATACCTCCGCATTTTCCTTTTTCTGGATACCTTCATATGTTGCCCCTTCTTCTGGCTGGGGAGTATGAGGCGCTTTTCCATCGGCTATGAGTTGGACAGCTTCTACCTAAAGCCAAAAACGTCACCTGTGTTACAGCCCAATGATCAACAATGGCATAGTCTGTTTAACTGAAGTTTCTGCTTAACAGAATGATTACATATGAATCTGTTCAGAGAGTCAGATTATGATAGTAACTACCATTTCTTCAGGCCCCTCTATGTCCCAGGCAGTGTGGTAGGTACTTTATATAAAATATCCCTTGCAAACAGCACACCAATCCTGCAAGGTGGAAATTATTATTCCTGTTTTACATATGAGGAAATTGAGGCCTAGAAAAGTTAAGCAACTAGCTCAGATCACAGACAGAACTTGTAGGTGTCAGAGGCAGGATTTGAATCCAGGTCTGTCTACCTCCAATATCAAGCCCACACTCTTCTTTAAATGACTCCCTTGTTTAAACAAGCTTCACTCTCCGTTTGGCGATTCAAGGGAAATTTCAGGAATATAAATGTAAAATAAATCATTGTGGGTTATTTTTGTTCATCATGATGATTCTGGAAAATGATACATTATTGTATTTAATTAATTCAACTTGCTTTCTAGCTCAGTACACCTGGAATAAAAAAAAATTAAAATCCATCCATGAGATTGATTGCCTTTGGGATGTGTCCTTCATTCTCTTCCATGCCATATTTATGTTTGCCTTGAGTTGAGAGCCTCTCTCCTTCACTGGGAGGCCAATGAGAGCTCAAGTTTGAGTTTCTAAGCACTCCCATCTGCTTACCAACCTACAGGAGAGCACCATCTGGGAACAGAGCCAAGTTGACAGCTTGTTCTACCTACCTCTAGCTCTAATGCCATCAGGTATAGGATCTAGGCTTGAGCAAATGCCACTGAGCACACATAATATTATTTTTATTGTAATTACCATAGCACCTACTATGCTTTACATAAATAATGCCATTTGATTTTCACAACAACCCTACAAATCAGGCAGTATTATTTATATTTTATAGATGAGGAAACCTAGGTTAATAGGCTAAGTGACTTATCTATTGTCATACAACAAATAAGTAGTAAAATGAGGATTTCAGCTCAGGTCCTTCTGACACCGAAGCCCTATACTCTTAAGCACCGGATGATACAAACAATGCAATGTCCTCTTCTCTCCTAAATCAACATCTGCTGCTTTATATAATCTTACTGTCCACCTCTGTGTTGACACTTCCACCTTACCAAATTCTAGAAAACATTAAATGGTGAGAAAATCATCTGCTGAACTTTTCAACATTTTTACAGGCTAATATTTTTACTCTGTGGTGTACATGCTTTGGGCTTTTCAACCAGCGCACATCAGAATAAGTTCAGCAACACTAAATTTCAAACATTTTTAATAGAATTCTGAATTACACAGCTGTAGCAAAATTTCTTAACATTGTGTATACTTCTTCACAATCAGTCATTACAAATAGAGTTGGACATTCAAGTACTTGAAAAAACAAATGGAGCCGTTTAATTCCCACTGCATTTGATCACTGCTCTTAGAGGAACTGCAAATCAGCTTCATAGACTAAGAAATTTTTTAAAGTTCAGATTTCTACTCTAAACATGCCATCCTACTCTAAATATAAAACCTAATTTTGTTTTTCAGCTTTATATTTTTATTTTTACTGAAAATTCATAAGGGCAACTTCTCAATAAAAGAAGACTATTTACAACACTTTAAAGCTTCACTGAATTCTTGATGGCATAAATATACTGACCATAGCTTTGATTCCCTCAGGAAAAAGAAATCGATTATAAAGTGTATCCACTGTATCATTGGGTTCGACATCACACGACCTCTGAAGGAGGATGGGTCCTGTGTCTAAACCATCATCAGCCCAGAAAACAGAAAACCCAGCTTTCTTATCTCCCATAATTAGAGTCCTGAGAAAAGAAAAAATTCAATTTAAAATGTTGGTTAACTGAGAGATGAGTTGATGATATTAAAATACATGGCAGCTACTACGGAAAAGTAGACAGTGAACGAAGCTACTTTGAGAAACTAACAGTAGTGGTGGGAGATAGAGAAGACAGGATGCAGAGCTCATAAAAAGCAATACCTAATGGTACTGCTGTTTATACATCGTCATAACTGCAGTATTCCTACTTAGCACATAGTAATGACTTGATTCCCAGATGCCAGCCGCTTACTGCAGAATCAAGTAATTTTGCCCACCTGGGTCCAGTTCTACATTGTGCTTGACCTGACCAGGCATAATTAGATAATGGAAGACAAAGTAGAGGATACTTGGTACAATGCAAAGAGAGTTGATTATTAATATAGGCTGTGTAATTCAGGTATAAACTTCATTTAGGATTAGCATTAGCTCTAGATTGTCTAAACATTGTAGTGAGAGACAGTTATTAATTTAACTATTTCTATTGTGTGTTCTATAAAGCTTAGCCTAAGAGGAAATGCCAGTCCTACAGGGGTTTATAGTATAAAATATTAAGCAGAGTATAAGGAAAAATACATGAAAATGCATATCAAGGAGCAGGCTAATACAGACAGAATATGAAATGGGAGGTCAACCACACCCAAAATCTAAATTATTTTTATTTCACTGAGTTGCTTATCAGGTAAGACATGAACGGATGAATGAATGAGTGAATTAATTCTTTTAAGAAATAATGAGGAATTTACTGGCATTGTGTTATCAAGAACCTTGAAACTATTCATACACTTTGACTCAATGATTCCACATGTGGGAACAATGGGAAACGGGAAAAAACATAAGTTTAAGTGCATAGATATCCATGACAACATTATTTACAAGATTAAAAAGGAAATCAATTCATGTACTAAAACTTTAAATACAATGAAATTTTTTAAAAATTACATTTCAACCAAGTATAGACTTTCTGCCTATTCAATAATTTGACACTAAGGGATATCAAGGAGATGTGCAGGTGAAAAAGAGAAGGCAGTGAAGGTGTGAAAGGCCCACCTCAACCCACAACAATGGCCAGGAAACCTATAGTATACCTATACTATTGGGTACCTATAGTGTATCAGGCCCTGTTCCTGATGCTGGGGAATATAGCAATGACAATGTTGAACAAAGTCCCTTCCCTCAAGGAGCTTTAAGTCAAATGGGGGAAGATAAACAATGAAGAAGATAATTTCAGATAAGTCAGTATTTCTCAAACTGAAGTGTAATTGAGATGTTCTGTGCAAAAAGAGTTCTGTGGTCAAATAAGTTTGGGAAACTGTGTACTTGGACCATCTCTTGGAGAATCATGATGTTCACATTAATGCACACATCAAAGGATATGAGAAGTCCTGCAATAAAGAAGCCCATCATAAACCAGACTTGTCAGAGCACAGAACCTTTGTTTGCTCAATACCTAGTTACATTCAATGGAACTAGTGCTCCATGGACTATTCTTGGAAAATATTATTCTGGCTCATGAAGCACTTCTGGACTTCAGGAGAGTTCATGCTATAGTAGCAATCAGGACCTCACAATTGTTCAAACAAATCTATTTTCTTGATCACCTAGGTAAAAAACAGAAAGATTATGAGCAATGAAAACAGGCCCATATTTTCTATTATTAAAAAATCTCACCAGTTGATAGCAGAGGCTCCTCTGTGCCTGGGAAGGATGGATGGGTGATATATGATGGAGCCGTGTTTTGGACTATCAATGACATCCATGGGGATGAACTGTGTACAGAAGGGAAGCACGTTGAGCTCAGCACCCACAGATCTGTAGGCCTCTGCCACCTCCTTTATGGTCTTGCCCTTGACTCTCCATTTAGGGAACTTGAACACAGGAGTCCCATCTTTTTCTGCAGCCAAAGCTGAGCATGAAAGAGAAGATTATTTTCATTAAATTTTTTTTTGCCATAATATTTCATTGCTATGGATTCATATGAAGTCCCTGGGTGCTTCAAATGGTTAATGCGCTTGGCTGCTAACCAAAATGTCGGCAGTTTGAGTCCACCCAAAGTTGCCTCAGAAGAAAGGTTTGGTGATTTACTTCCAAAAAATCAGTCATTAAAAACTCTATGAAGCACAGTTCTACTCTGACACACATGAGGTTGCCATGAGTTAGAACTGCCTTGACGTAACTGGCTTTTTTATAGATTCACATTATAATTTCACAGCTTCATGAAACATTTACAAATATGGTGAAGAACAATTTAGATGTTGACCTGCTGCAATTGACCTGTTACAATTTTATCATGACTCATTCATTTTTCTAATGTGATCTCTGTCTACGTATTTAAAGCATAATACACTTGAATTTTTTAAAAAGATTATGGCTATATAATATTTTTGATATTTTAACTGAAGCTTTTTCTTTTTTAGATCAAAAATGATACCTTTTTTTTGGTGACGATTTCAATGATTCTACCCATTTTGTGATGTTGATATATACTGATGATTCTGTAACCTTCCTTGGACTCGGACAGACATGGCTGTGGCAGCATGCTTGTCCGTCTTCCCATTCTTGCCTATTCTGTAATATTCTTTGGACTCAGGCAGACATGACTCTAGCAGCATGCTTGTCTGCTTCCCACTTTTGTCCTTTTGAATATATGCCGAATAAAACTTTCTTTATGCTTTACAAAAAAAAAAGATACTTTTTTAATGCAAATATCTTGTTTTTTATTTCTAAATAAAGCATATATTTAGTCATATATTTCCAGCTTGTCCTTTGCATTGTTTAATTCTATTTTTTAGTGGATTTTTTTTTGTTGTTGTTGATTTTCTGTTTTTTTTTATTGTGCTTTAGGTGAAGGTTTACAGAGCAAATTAGTTTCTCATTAAACAATACACATACTGTTTTGTGACATTGGTTGCCAACCCCATGACATGTCAACCCTCTTCCCTTCTCGACCTTGGGTTCCCCATTTCCATTCGTCCAGCTTTCCCGTTCCCTCCTGCCTTCTCGTCCTTGCCCCTAGACTTGTGTGCCCATTTAGTCTCGTATATATGGTTTAACAATGTGTATTATTGTTTGTTTTATAGGCATGTCTAATCTTTTGGCTGAAGTGTGAACCTCAGGATTGACTTCAGTACTGAGTTAAAAGGGTGTCCAGAGGTCATACTCGCAGTTTCTCCAGTCTATCAGACCAGCAAGCCTGGTCTTTTTTTGTGAATTAGAATTTTGTTCTACATTTTTCTCCAGCTGTCTAGGACCCTCTATTGTGATCCCTGTCAGAGTAGTTGGTGGTGGTAGCCGGGCACCATCTAGTTATGCTGGACTCAGTCTGGTGGAGGCTGTGGTAGTTTTGGTCCATTAGTCCTTTGGGCTAATCTTTCCCTTGTGTCTTTGCTTTTCTTCATTCTCCCTTACTCCAGATGAGGTGGAACCAGTGGAGTATCTTAGATGGCTGCTCACAAGCTTTTCAGACCCTAGATGCTACTCACCAAAGTAGGATATAGAACATTTTCTTTATAAATTATATTATGCCATTGAGCTAGATGTCCCCTGAGACTATGATCCCCAGCCCTCAGCCTAGTAACATGGTCCCTAAGAGAGTTTGGATGTGTCTATGAAGCTTCTATGACTTTGCCTTGGTCAAGTTGTGCTGACTTCTCCAGCATTGTGTACGGTCTTACCCTTCACCAAAGTTACCACTTATCTATTGTCTAGTCAGTGTTTTTCCCTCCCCACACTTCTCCTCCCTCATAACTATCAAAGATGGTTTCTTTCTGTGTGTAAACTTTTTCATGGGTTTTTATAATGGTGGTCTCATACAATATCTGTCCTTTGTGATTGACTTATTTCACTCAGCATAATGCCCTCCAGATTCATCCATGTTGTGAGATGTTTAGCAGATTCATCATTGTTCTTTATATTGCATAGTAGTCCATTGTGTGTATGTACCATAGTTAATCCATTCATCTGTTGATGGGCACTTAGGTTGTTTCCATCTTTTTGCTATTGTGAATAATGCTGCAATGAACAAGAGTGTGCATATGTCTATTTGTGTGACAGCTCTTATATCTCTAGGATATATTTTTAGGAGTGGGATTGCTGAATCATATGGTATTTCTATTTCTAGCTTTTTAAAGAAGCGCCATATTGTTTTCTGAAATGGTTGTACCATTTTGCATTCCCATCAGCAGTGGATAAGAGTTCAATCTCCCCACAACCTCTCCGACATTTGTGTTTTTTGGATTTAGTGCCAGTATTGTCAGGATGAGATGATATCTCAATGTAGTTTTGATATGCATTTCTCTAATGCCTAGTGATAGTAAGCATTTCCTCATGTGTCTGTTAGCAACCTGAAAGTCTTCTTTGGTGAAGTGTCTGTTTATATGCCTTGCCCATTTTTTAATTGGATTATTTGTCTTTTTATTGTAGAGGTGTTGGAATATCCTACAGATTTTAGAGATTAGACCTTTGTTGGATATGTCATAGCCCCAAAATTTTTCCCAGTCTGTAGATTCTCTTTTCACTCCTTTGGTGAAGTCTTTTGATGACCATAAGTGTTTAATTTTTAGAAGATCCCAGTTATCTAGCTTATCTTCTGGAGTTTGTGTATTGTTAGTTATGGTTTTTATCCTATGTGTGCCGTATATTAGGGCCACCAGCATTGACCCTATTTTTAATTCCATGATCTTTATAGTTTTGATCCATTTTGAATTAGTTTTTGTGTATGGTGTGAGGTATGGGTCCTGTTTCATTTTTTTTACAGATGGACATCGAGCACCATTTGTTAAAAAGACTGTGTTTTCCCCATCTAATGGACTTTGGGCCTTTGTCAAAGATCAGGTGACCATAAGTGGATGGACTTACATCTGGGTTCTCGATTCTGTTCCATTGGTTAATGTGTCTGTCATTGCACCAGTACCAGGCTGTTTTGACTACCGTAGCTGTGTAGTAGGTTCGGAGGTCAGGTAGCACAAAACCTCTTATTTTGTTGCGCTTCTTCAATAATGCTTTCCTTATCTGAGGCCTCTTTCCTTTCCATTTAAAGTTGATTAGTTTTTCCATCTTGTTATGGAATGTTGTTGGTATTGGGAAAGGAATTGCATTGTATTTGTAGATTGTTTTGGGTAGAATTGACATTTTCACTATGTTGAGTCTACCTATCCATGAGCATGGTATCTTTTTCCATTTATGTAGGTCTCTTTTAGTTTCTTGCAGTAGTGTTTTGTAGTTTCCTTTGTATAGGTCTTTTATGTCCCTGGTTGGATTTATTGCTAAGTATTTTATTTTTTAGGGGCTATTATAAATAGTATTGCTTTCCTGATTTCCTTTTCATAGTTCTCTTTTTTTGGTGTATAGGAACCCAACTGATATTTGTATGTTTATAAAAATGATACATTTATTGTTGATCTAGTCATTCAAAGAACATAGCTCTTGATCTGGAGCCAAATGACAACACCCCCCCCCAAAAAAAAAAAAAACACCTTACTGCTGTCATGTCAATTCTGATAAATAGTGACCCGGTAGGACTTCACCTCCAAATTAGACATAGCCTCTGACACAGTCAGAAAACTTCAAGCTTCTCCTCCTCCCCTGTTGCTCAGGGACAGGTCCCTTTTATCACAAGGCAAATTGTAGGCCAGCACATATTGTCCCTGCCAAACAGGCAGATCTCAGAAGATGAAGGGAAGAAATTGCTGAACTGACCTGAGGTGAGGTGGTCTAGTGCCTTCTCCCAAATTCACCAGTAAGATAAATCCGTGGAGAATACGTGCTCCGTGTAAGGTTTTGCCAATATTGGAGCAAATCTGAGGCTCCTCCCTGAAGAAAGTGTTTCTTCCCCAGAAATGACTCCCTCTCACCTTTATGTGAAAGTGGAATGGCCTTCCAAAGTATACACAAGTCCTTTTTTTCCATAATAAATTGTCATTTTTTACTAAGTATATACCTTACATGTAAAATATATACATATATATGTTTATTTACTTAAAATATATAAAAATATATTTAAAATAAAGTCTATATATTTATTTTTTGTTTATTTTCAATCAATAACACAAAATAACTACATTTTAGGCATTTTATCTGCATTTTTTATTCCCTTTATCTTTCTCCCCACCAAGCACCAACAATGGTTCATCATAGGATGATGCCTTCATGAAAAAGCCTGAATTCTGAAGCCTAAGTAAGACCTGAAGGACTCTGGCCATGAAAACTATGCCTTAATCAAGCTATTCAGAAGAATTTGAGAATTTGTAAACAATAATGATCACAAAATGTAAATGATCATAAAATGTTTAAAAACCTGTAAACAACCCAAATGTGAAATGACAGGAAAATGGATAAATGATTGATTTTAAAATGTAGGGAAATTAGAAGAAAATTGTGAAAGAAGTTCTCATTTTAAAATTGTGCTCCACTGAGACAGGCTCGAGGCATCCAGCTGTTCAGGTTCCTCTATTGATTTTTTGGCTGCTCCAGGGAACAAGAATAGTCAGGTGATATGATTATTGATTACTTATTATGAGCCAGAAGCAGCGCTGAGCACTTTACACATATTATCTCATTTAATCTTCACAATAGCCATGTGAAATAGGTACCACTGAACTGAAGCTTAGTGAGTTTAAGTCACTTGTCCAAGGTCACACAGCCAGTAAGTGAAAGAGTCAGAACTAATTCCCTGACTCCAAAACATTTTTCTCCAGCTGTCTAGGAGACAACATATTGCTGACAACAATATGCTGTCCCACTTCCCAGGTTCCTCTACAAGTCAGGTTGGTATTTTGTCTTTTTCTAAGTTCTCCCAAGAGTCCAATGACCACTTAATGGAGAGGTGGTCCTGGCCCTGGGACTAGGCACTAGGAAAGGGTTTATTTCCCAGAATTCACTCCGAAAGGAGATTGAAAAGTCACATACTTGCAATTCTTCTGAAGTCCATGTACATGTCAGAGACTGCTAGCTGTCCCCTAGTCTTCCTTTAGCAATGGACCTCTCTTACTCTAGCTAAACACATAGCCACCCTGAATAAAATCTATTCTTTCTCAGCCTGTCTTGCAAATAGATTTGGACTGTGATCAAGTTCTGGTGGACAGGATGTGAGTGAGAGTGATATGTGCAACTTCTGGATTATGCCATAAAGGGCTTGTCCTCTACTTCTCCTCTACCTTCCTGCTTGCTGTAATGAAGAATAGATAATGGGGGCTGAAGCAACTACCTTGGACCACAAGATGGAAGTCCATTGTTGATAATGGAAAAACAACAAATAGAAGGAACCTGCATTGGGATTAATGTAGAGCTGCCACATCAGCTCTGGATAGCCAACCCAGACTTGAGAAATGAGCATCTATCTAATTTAAGCTAATTTTATTTGGGGTCTTTCTGATTTAACAGTCAAGTTTATATACCAACTGTCATGGATTGAATTGTGCCCCCCAAAATATCTGTCAACTTGGCTAGGCCATGATTCCCAGTATTATGTGACTGTGCACCATTTTGTCATGAAATGTGATTTCCTATGTGTTGTAAATCCTATCTCTATGATGCTGATGAGATGGGATTAGTGGCAGTTATGTTAATGAGGCAGGACTCAATATACAAGATTGGATTGTGTCTTGAGCCAATCTCTTTTGAGATATAAAACAGAGAAGCAGGCAGAGCAGAGAGACATTGGGACCTCATACCACCAAGAAAGCAGCACTGGGAGCACAGTGCGTCCCTCGGATCTTGGGGTTCCTGCGCAGAGAAGCTCCTAGACCAAGGGAAGATTGATGACAAGGACCTTTTTCCAGAGCTGATGAAGAAAGCCTTCCCCTGGAGCTGGCACCCTGAATTTGGACTTCTAGCCTACTAGACTGAGAGAATAAATTTCTCTTTGTTAAAGCTATCCACTTGTGGTATTTCTGTTATAGCAGCACTGGATAAGTAAAATACCAACTATCATTCCTCCCAAACATCCTCCACATGAAGCTGTTAGGAATACATAATGCTGGGTCAAACAGGGCCAGCAACAGGAATCTGTCCCCTTCTTCCTTCAGAGCCAGGAATTCACAAAGCAGTTTCCCTTGGAATTTCCCAAGTTGAGATAATCTTTTTCTGAAACAAGAATAATTTCTAGCTCAAGTGATTAAATTCAAGTCCATATGTGCCCTTGGCCCAACTTTTGTTTTTAGCTTGACTCTTAAAAAATAATATTAAGATATAATAATTTTTAAAGTAGTTAAAAAGAATTAGGATAAACCCTAGAGTTGCTTCTAAGAATAAAAAAAGTATAAATTCAATGTTATCACAGATTGCTGTTTTCTAATCATTGTGTTGCATTTTGCCAGTGATTTATGAAGATCTGAGTGATAAGCCAAGATTTCTATACCCTCCTTCTTATTCCCTACCTGTAGTATTTGTGGATTGTTTTATCTCTGTGCCTTATACCCATATCTCAACATAACTATGGCTTGCAAAACAGGATGACATGGCAGGCTTGCTTTGGGGTTGGCCAACTTCTCAACCCACCAAGCAGTCCCAGTCATAATTTGTTATAAAACAAAAGCATTGAGAAATCACATCAACTTCTGTTACTGGGTGTAGCATTCCCTTCATTACCATTGGCATCTCTGCATTACGCATTATTCTGGATGTGCCATAGCACCTTTGGAAAGTCATGAGTGCATTCCAGAAAAAAAAAAAAATACAAGCCTAGAAATTCTTCTGATGGGCCTAGTGATCACCACGTAGATTAATGGGAAAGCTTTTAATACAATAAGGACTTGTGCCTTTGTCTTGGGACTCATAGAGAAGTGAGAGCTGGAGAGTCCACATCCACTGTGCAAATAGACTTGACATGAGAAGGTCTTTAATAGGTGGACTGGAGGGAGGTGCAGAGTCTGGGTCTTTGGCACCTGTAGCTAAGAAGTGGGAGTACAGCTCAGATCAGGGCCCTGAGGCTGGACAGTTAAAAGACCAGTGCAGATTCTTTGATCCAGTTGTCCCAAGATACACTCACCTAGTGGGTCAGCTTTCCCATCCCTGTCTGGAACTGTGAAAACTCCCACTACTCGGTGGCCCTCTTTCTGGAGGTGGCTGTAGACTTCTTGTCCAAAGAGGCTCTGTCCTATAAGTGCCAACTTCAGCTTGTTTTTGAAATAAACCTACAAAACAATTCAATGGTGACAGATGTTAGCATGGACAGGAGGCATGTAGATAATAAACCTTTCTTTCAGTCATACAAGATGACTTGAGGACTACAAAAGGCTCGAAGATCTGTAAAATAAAATTTTTATTCACCTACACTGAACTGTGGATCATAATAAATTATGGATAACATTGTGGAGAATGGGAATTCCGGAACACTTAATTGTACTCATAAAGAACCTATACTTAGAACAAGAGGCAGTCATTTGAACAAAACAAGGGGATAGTGTATGGTTTAAAGTCAAGAAAGGTGTGCATCAGAGTTGCAGCCTTTCACCATACTTATTCAATCCGTATGCTGAGTAAATAATCCAAGAAGATGGGCTATATGAAGAAGAAAGGGGCATCAGGGTTGGAGGAAGACTCATTAATAATCTGTGATACACAGAAGACACAACCTTGCTTGCTGAAAGTGAAGAGGACTTGAAGCACTTACTGATGAGATCAGACCACAGGCTTCAGTATGGATTACACCTCAACATAAAGAAAACAAAAATCCTCACAACTGGACCAATAAGCAACATCATGATAAATGGAGAAAAGAC